CTGTGAGGCAATCCCAATCCTTCCTGCATCCAGAGTTTGCTGGGAAAGACACAAAATGTTAAGTAAGTCAGTCATACTTCTATGACTTGCATTACACTTGCATTTCTGATCCTGTCAGGGAGCTTTAGTATCCTCTGGTCAGAGACTGCCTTGACTTAGAATGTTCCTGGTTGTGCAGGACTAGAGAGCTATAAAACATGCTGGGCACTGCAGAGAAGCCAGGGGTGCAGGAAGGAAGCCATAAAGGAGAGGTTTTGCTTCTTATCAGCTGGGGGGGAAGAACTGGGGAGTAGTAAAAGAAAGGAAAAGAGCACAACGAGGAACAGGTGCTTTGTGGAGCCCTTCAGCCAGGCCCCAGCTCACTGCACACCTGATGGCACTGCCACTGTAATTGAAAATCAAAACCACCTGCTCAGTTCTCATCTGTGCTCCTCTCATCAGGGCGCACCCTGAAGCACTGCTTAATAAACATGGCCTGTCTCAGACACCTTGCCCACCAGGCTTTAACTGCTTCCTGCACAGGAAGAATTTACAGCACAGTGAGAAAGGATTTTATCTTCGTAGTCTGGACGAAAGGGAACGAATGGGCTGTGCTCCAGGGAGCTCAGCTCTTGCAAAAGCCAGAACAAACAACAGTTTTACCCCCACAGAAGCAACAAACACCTCAGTGGGGTAGTGCAGCACTGCAAGGAACACTCTGTCCCACAGCACCCTGACTCCTCCTCAGAGTTGCATACAAGTCGTAACTCAGATTTCATCTGCTGTTACACATCACCCAGAGGTTGCCCTGGCCCTCCAGGGCAGCTTTTCCTCTGCCACAGTGTTTAGGGAAAATGCCATGTTTTCCCTTTATCAACAGGTAGAAACTGGAGGAATAGAGGGGTTGGGAAAGGAGCAAAATGAAAACTCATCACAGCTGCTGACACACCACCTCAGCAGCATGAGCATTTCTTCATCTGAGAGCTGCCACGTTTATCTACAGTAGAAGCAATGTCAAGGATCCATGGCAAACTGACAATTCATCAGCCCTGGGAGTGATTTCCCATGTTGGCAAGAGGGGGTCAACTGCCCAGTGCTACACAGAACAGCTTATGCTAGTGGTGCCCACCAAAGCCATCTTACGCCTAAAAATGGTTTTGGAAATGATAAGCTTTAGAACTATGGCTGTTCACAACCACAGCTCACCCCGATCCATTTCTTACCATGGCAATTTTGAAGCCCATTCCCAGCTGTCCTAGGAGGTTGCCCTTGGGTATCCGACAGTCTTCAAAGATCAGGTTCGCAGTGGAAGAGGCACGGATTCCCAGTTTGTCTTCTTTCTTCCCCAGTGACAGCCCAGCAGTTGGCATGGGAACCAGGAACGCACTAATGCCCTGCAACAAGACCCAAACTCTTAGGAATGGTGCCAACTTCCTATTTACCTGGCTGTCAACAGGCTTCCTCCAAACATTTTTGACAGAAGCCACATTTCTGGGTGACCAGAAGGGATGGAGAGTAAGACAGAACAAAGCACATCAGCCCCTCCTCCACTCAGTGCCTGCACCGCTCTAAACAGTCCCCAGAACCTTTCCAAAGTGCTCCTCCTGCACCACTCCTTTACTCCCACCCCTTCTTGCTGACTGACCCCAATGAACACACCTTGTGCTTCAGGGATTTATCTGTAGTAGCAAACACCACAGTGGCCGAGGCGTCCCAGGCGTTGGTGATCCAGGCCTTGGTGCCATTCAGAACCCACTCGTCCCCATCCAGACGTGCCACCGTGGATGCCGCACCCGCATCACTGCCATTCCCTGAGCAAGGCACCAGCAAAGGAGGCCATCAGTGGCAGCCTGGGGTGCAAACTCACCCCCTGCCTGCACTCTGCCAGTTCACAGTAAGTCTTGTAACTGGTGGTGTCACCACTGTCCCTCCCCAGTACCGAATCAGAAAGGGAAAGGCCCACATGTCTAAGATGTGACCATCTCCACAGCTCTGCTCACACAGAGGAAATGAAAACTTTCAGCATGGACCATGGGGATGGCAGTTAATACCTTGGGCAGCAAGACTTCCTTTAAAGAGAATAGTTACAAACTACCCTTCTGCCAACTGTTACAATTTCACACACCTTAAGTCCATCCCAAACCTGAGGAAAGCAGCTACCCTATGTATGTTCTCTTGCAAAAGAAACAGTAACAGGCATATCACCTGGTTCACTAAGGGCAAAACATCCAATTTTCTCTCCTCCAGTGAAGGGAGCAATCCACTTGTGCTTCTGTTCTTCAGTGCCAAACTTGAGTATCGGCCCTAAATATAGGGACTTCAAGCATTGAGAGTTAACCCCTCTAGAAGGTACAGAAACAATCCAGTAACTCCCTAATGTCCAAGTGCTCTCCAACCACGGGAACTAACCCCATTTCTCACATATACTCCTCTCCAGAAACCACTGCCACCAGCCTGTCCCTCACACACAACCTGAGGCACTTACATTATTGACGCTGACAATGACACCGGTGGAGGCACAGCCCCTGCTGATCTCCTCCACAGCAATGGAATAGGCCAGGTAGTCAAGGCCGGCTCCCTTGTACTCCTCTGGCACGTCCATAGCCAGCAACCCTAAGCCACCCATCTTCTTCACCTGCATGTGAGGAACACAGAAGTAAGATCCTGTGCACCACCAGTGTCCCAGCAAATACACACAGACACATGGAAGTAAAGACAGGTCATAGCAGGGCTACACACAGGGAAGATGCAGACAACTCCTGGTGCACTGGGAATCTGACTGTACAAACTGGTCCCCAGGCCCTGATGGTTTCAACGACCTGTACACAGTCACTGCAGCTTAAGATGAGGCCCTTGCTTATTTAAGGAGCTCTCTTCAATACTTCTGAAGGTGAAATAAGGATATACAACCCCATCAGTATTCCTCAGCACTCCACCAAAGCTCTTCCCTTTGCATATGTCCTGTCAGTGGGAAGCTCTCAATAGGAAATCTAGCTGATAAAAATCATTAGAACTTTACCTGTGCATTTGCTGAGCTTCAGCCTAGGGCTGCACAAAGAAAGAATTTTACACAATGAGTGACCCACAGAACACTTTGCAAGAAGGTGATTTTCTCATTCCCATTAAAGTCAGGTCTGGCTTCCCAGAGAACAGTTCCTTCCATTCCAAGTTACTCCATCCCAAGTTCCTCAGCTGGACCCCAACTTCTTAACTGTAAGCTCTTCAGTGCACTGTCTCACCCTAGGTCTCTTGTTAATATTTGGCAGCACACAAGAGTAACAAAAAAACCCAAGCTTTCCTCTGTTTTTATGCTTGATAAGATGTCCTCTTATAATTCTTCTGGTTTTATACTTGATGTCAAGCTTTCAGTGCTGCAGCGATGTGTACATTACCAGCCTTGCTTGAAAAGGAACCAAGGGGAACTTTTAAGCAAGTATTTCGCTCCTGTACAGGCACCCAAAACACTAATCACTCACACCAAATCCAGAGACCGAACAAAAGACAGCAACAAGTACAATAATGTTGCTTTAATAAACACTGTTTACATTTAGAATTCTCCCCTACACATTCAAGTCAGATGACTTAAAATCTAATGTAAAATTCTCAGGTAACAGTGAAGAGGAAAGTATTTTCTCCTTTAGAGTGAGTCTGCCTTCACTGGCTATCACCTTCCTTACTCCTTAACAGCAAGAAGGGTGTATGACAAAACTCCACTTGCCTCCCTGCGGTTGCTTGGAGCTTTCTGCTAATGTAACTATTTTTCCGGAGCTTAGCATTTCGTCACAGCAAACCAGGTGAGTTAATCTGCTCAACATGGCATGGAACATGTTGCTCTTTCTGTACGGCTTTCCATAAGGGGAATTTCAGGTTTGATCGGAATCTCAGCTTCTCCACAGCCCCAGAGCATGACAAACATGCATGTACTATGCCCTCCTTTCACCATCTGAAATGGACTCAAGTCCTCTAGACTTCCTCACTATAAACTATTTTATGGTTATGTGTAGTCTGTAAAGGTATTTCATTGATTTTATGAGTCGGTTGTGTAACAGCCCACAGGTAAGTCAGTAACAGAACTGAAAATTCAGTGGTACTAAAGCTAGATACAAGTGCAGGTAAAGAGCTCAGGATGCTCAGCAGTGGACATTACATCCTCCACACCCAAAGGTTCTCCCACAAGCTGCTCTAAACTTCAATCTTCTACTACGGCAGACTTTGATGTACATTTTGCTTGGGGCCCGGACGGCCCCAGCAGCCGAGGGAAGCCCGGCTCTGACGGCGCCCGCCCGCTCCCCCCCGCCCTCATCCCGGCACACACCTGCTCGGCCGGGAAGCGGTGCTCCTTGTCCAGCTGTGCTGCAAACGGCATCAGCTCCTTCTCTGCGAAGTCCCGGCATGTCTGACGCAGCATCTCGTGGGTCTCGGGCAGCTCCACTGTCTGGTACACCGTGTGCAGCCGGCGGAGGCACCCGAAGGCGAGCGCTGGAAAGAACGAGAGGCATTTGAGGCCGTTGTTTCCCTGTGCAGGGGGATGAACACGACCCAGGAGGGTCAGACCCCAGGCGGGACTCGCACAACGCGGCCGGGAGCCTCCCCGGAGAGCAGCGGGGCCTCACGATCCGGGCCTGCAGCAGGGGCACAGCGGGCCGGGGCCCTAAGCAGAAGGGCGGCTGAGGGAACCCGCCTCAGGCCCTGAAGGGCACCGGGGCCTCTCCTCCTGCGCAGGCCGCGGCCCCCTCCCCACCCCGCTGCCGTGTCCCGCCGCTCCCCGAGCAGCCGCGGCGGAGCGGTGCCAGTGCCGGGGCCGAGCCCGGTCCTAGCGGCCTCACCCCGGGGCGCGCCGCAGCCGCGGGCCAGCACCACCGCCGCCGCCGCCATGCCCGCCTCCCCTCGCCTGAGGCAGCGCGAGGAGCGCGCATGCGCCGACTGCGCCCACCGGCGGCGCAGCACCTCCAGCCCCGCCCCCTCCCTCCCTCCCATCCGCTCCAGCCCCGTGTCCCCCCCCCCAAAAGCGGCCACTTCGGTGCGAAACCGGAGGTTTCTTTATTACCGTGACAAAATAACCTTTATACAAATACATGTCACCCTGAGGGGCTCGGCCAGCACGGCCCCGCACCGGCACCGCCGCCCCCGCCCGGGAAGGGCCACAAGAGGGGCACAGCACGGAGGAGGTCGACGCGCCAGCAGCCCAAAGGCCACACTGTGAGATACAAATAGGTGTCCTGTAACAGCACTGAGATCCAGACAGAGACGGGGTTTGCTGGTGTTCGTTTCGTCCTTTGCTGCAGAGGAAGAGGCGATGGCTCCAGCAGGCAGCATGGCCCTTGGCTTTGTCCTTGTTGTGAAGCCAAAAGGGAGATGGCAGTGTCTGAGTCCAAGGAGTAGCACAAGGTTGGGTAGCACAATGTGAGAGGACAGCAGGGCTGAAGACAAACGCTAGGAAACAGCTGAAGGGGATGGAATGGAACAGAGCTGAGAAGCAGAAGAATGGTCCAAACATGGGAAGTCACCACCACCACCTTCCTCAGTCATCTCCAACTTCTAAACACTTGCTTTATTACTCCCAAGCCCTCAGAGAAGTGGAATAAACATCCTCAAGCACCACAGAGGAGGCTGCTGCTTCTCTGCAGCAGGGAACATTGAAAATCCCAAGGAACGCACAAAGGAAGGCTTTTCCTACCAAAACCAGAGGACAGCAGTACCCAGTCCATACAAGAGATGACCTTCCTTCGCAAGGTGCAAGATGTACTCCTCAGTCAATCATGAGAATAGCTGTCCAGGAAGTCTGCTTGCATGGATCCAAAGCACTCGCCTCAAGAATGGAAAACAGAGATCCAATACTAAAAGGACAAATACTGAAAAGATTTAGCATGAGTTTGTGGGTTTGGTCCCTTTTTTGTTAGGACAGAACACAGTATGGTCCCAAAGCTCTTCTCTTTCCAACTCAGCACACAACCCAAGAGAAGCTGTCTGCACAGGTACCTTTTCTCTTGCTCAAACTTCAGCTCACGCTGAAAACACCTCCTCTGCCTACAGAACCTGGCTTAGGACAGACCATCCACCTGACACGGATGAAATCCCTTTGGAATTTCTTCCTAGCTCACTGACATAAGTAGCTTTGACCACCACTAAGGCATCAGAGCACACAATCCAGAAGGAAGATGCTCTGTTAAATGTGCTTTCCAAAGACACCAATCCCTGCCACAAACAGAAGACATTTTATAGAAAGCATCCAAGAGGAAAGTTACCTTAGGGAAGCAGTCAAAGTGGGGACCAGAGCTTAAAAGATCCCTGACCTTTTGGATTACAATCAACTTTTCCAGTGCTGGGTTACCCTCCTTTACTTCTCTTGTAGGAGTAAAGACCTTCCAATTTGGCAAACAAATTCAGCCGTAAACTAAGGGGTGCTGCTGCTGCCTGCACATCTCATTTTCCTCCAGTTTTCCTTATCTTATTGCTGAATAGCCGATACATTCACCAATGGAAAAGCAACTGCTTCAAGGCTTTTTCCTCCTCACTGCTGGGAGGCAATGACTAAAGGCAGAAATCCACGTTCCTAAAAGCATCAAACACTTGGCAGAGCGCTCTCCCGCTGTCAGTGGCGTTCTGTTAGCAGCAGCTAGGTGGCACCCACAGCCCGACCGACACCCGGTTCCTCCGGCGCTGCGCCCCGACCGCTAAAGGCAGCTCACGCGTGTTGGGATTTGCCCGCACTCCTACTGCTCACTCTGGCAACCGTCATCTTCCTTTTAAGAACCGTCACGCAGTGACACAGAAAACAGATGGAAATCGTCACACAAGAAAAGCAAGGGGTTGCTTCATACAGAAAGTGTGATAAAAGTAACATTTAAAGGCACCTGGATTTATACTACATCCAAATTCAGCTCAATATGCTACAATTTCCCAGGGACTAACTAGCACAGGCTCGTCAGAAACTATCTTGAGCATCTCAGAACACTTCAGGATGAGATACGCACTTCCAAGCAGTTTCTGTCACAAACAGCTTCCAGCAAACATTCCTACCTCACTAGTACAAGGCCTTTTGAAGACAATCACTGCAAGAGGCATCTCAAGCTCCACCTCACAAGCGGCTTTAACCAATTCTGGAATAACTAAAAGATTGCCTAAGTGGCTTTGGAAGTACTGGAGGGGACTGATGGTAGCAGAACTGTTCATCTTTCCACCACGCAGGCCTTGTCCCTCCGCATTCCCAAGACATTTGTTGTGGTTGCTTGGGATTAGTGCTCCACCCAGCACATCCATTTGTTGTGGTTAATCATAATTAAGTATCTTTCCAAGAGCTGGAGATTCTTTCCTGGCTGCCACCCCACACACTCTTACTGCTTACCCTGATGCCACCTGATCTTCTCCACCAAAGCTAGCATCATTAATCTGTGAGGTAAAGGCAGTAGTTTCCTACTGCTTTCTATGCATTAACAGGCTCCAGGCTGTGATGTTCATCCCACTTGATCCTCCTAAAACTACACTGAATCTTACTTAACACAACAGGTAACCAATGGTTTCCACCCAGCAGTTAGGTTTCAACTCTCTCAAGGAACAAATGGAACTGATACTAGTGAATGCCTCTACTCTAGACACAACCAAACACCCTCATACAAGAGACACAACTGACCAGCCCAATGAGAGGACAGGGAAAATGCCAGTCTAGAGAGCACCAAAACAGACAGAAAAAGGTCTTGTTAGCAGAGATTTTGCATGGTCAGGAGTTGGGTCCCAGCATGGCTGCTGGGAAGACACAGGTCTCCCCACTGCTATTCCCTACCGACAGATCCCAAACACAGCTGTGAAATACACCCTCTGCTCTGGCAGTAATTACCTTGGCAGAAGAAAATCCTAAACCACAACTCAGCAGCTAAGCAGGCAGAGCAAGGATGGGAACTCAAACAACTAAAAAGAGAACCATGTCAATTCTCACTTGGTGAGAATCCCACTCCACAATACTGAGATCTGACCCAAGCAGCTTTTAGCTGCTAATACATCAATCAAAACAGAGCAAATGAGATGGTAATGCCACCATCTCTCCTACCAGCACCTCTGACAGATCATTCAGGTTTAAAAGTACAGAGATTGAAGCTCAGGAAACACTGCTTCCTACACATTTTTCAAGTGATTTTCCACATTCTCTCTTTTTCCTCTAAGCCCCCCAGACTGACACCTCCCTTCCACCTCAACTAGACTGACAACGTGCTGTCAATCTAAAAAGCAATACATTCTGTAGCAAGAGCCAAAATCCCTATACAAAGGGAAGCAGGAGAAACGGTAAATATAGGTGAGATTAAGTTCAGCTCTAAGGTTGACCCCTGAGCTCCAAACACAATTTGCACAGAAGGGTTCAGACAGAAATGCTATTAAACTGACCTGATTACCAACCTGGATAAAGTCCCCCTTTCCCGTCCTATCTCATATCTCTAGTGAAGTGTCTGCCAAGACACAAATTAATCTATTCTCATGAGCACCTCAGGCTCCTGGAGGCAGAATGAAGATTCCTGCACTGTAGAGGCTGAGTTAGTCTCTTATTTTACCTTTCCCACTGGAAATTGGGATGCAACCTAAAAGCAATGTCAGCCATGCTACAAATTAAACCATTGTGCACTAATGAGATGATCTATCCAACTGAAGAGAAGATCTACTCTTCAGGCATCACTGGCTACTTGAAGGGGTAAAATTTTCCTGTTAAGAAATAGTTTACCCAAACAATCTGACCTCTTGAAAGAGTAAATCACCCAGCATGTGAAACATCAGAAGCACTAATAGTGCAACCTAACTAGAAAGACTGTAACAAGAATTGTGTAACAGTGCCTCTGATCCATGACCTAACTCAAGTACCAGAAGGTAACCAGAAACAGAGATTGAGAGGCAGGATACACTGAGTGCCAGACATATAGAGGTTGCAGGGAGGTTTCCTTTCATGAGCTGTTGTCTTCGTTTGACATTACAGGGAGGTTTCCTTTACTTTCATGAGCTGTTGTCTTCGTTTCATGTTTTCAGCCTCACACAAGGAGAAAAGGTTTGGCAAGAAGCCTTGTTGCACTAGACAGCAACTCCAGTCCACTCCTGGACATTTGGAATGGGTAACAGCATCACAGCATCCCGTGGACATGGAACAATTACTGTCCTCCATTGTAAGCATAGTCGGCCTTGTTGTGCATAATCAACTTGTTGTCCACAAAGTAAAAGCTGTCTGAGCGGGTCTCGTATGGGTTTTCAACCATCAGCCGGACTGTGAAAGAGAAAGCTCCGTTACATTCACATGCCTGCCACACTCCACCAGGCAGCACAAAGCCAGAGTAAAAAAGACTCTGCCCCTCTGCTGGATTTACCAGGCTGATGATGCTCTGCCCTACGCAAGTAAGAGAAGCAAACTGCTCCTCCAAGCGTGTTTCAAAAGCTCTGGCCTGCCTTTTCTATTCTTCTATTCACAGGACAAGTGCTGCCAAAACAAACAAAGTGGGATCAAGTAATCTCACACAAAACTCCCTTATAGAAGCTGTCAGAGCCACCAGTGGAGCAGAGCAGCAAAGCAGATGTAGTGATCTCAACAAAAGAGTGGTGGCACGCCCACGTGTACACAGGCAGGTACAAACCCTGTGCCTCCTCCTGCACTGAGGCAGCCACACAAGGCCCCGCGTGCTCCCGCTCCATTCACCCCCCGAGGTCAAATATACCCTGCACAGTGTGTATTTGCAGAGATCGGGGTAGGCTCAAAACCACACCTCTCTGAAAAGAGCCAGCTCTGTTCCAAAGAAAACTCAAGCCCTAACAAGCAAGTACTGAAAACAGATGCGTGGCTACTAAGACAATCCTTTTTCATTGTTTTACCTTCTGGGTTACAGTTATGCATCAGACACGTTAACCCTCTGACTCTGATCAGTTCTTGTGGCCTGTGACTTGGCGTTGTCTGAGGCTTACATTTTCAAAGGAGACTTTGCAGCACAAATCTGTAATCCAGTCAAGATTACGCACAGCTTAAATCTGGAATCTGTATCTATTCCTATCCAGCACATCCCAGTCATTTCTTTCACAAACACAGACGGGGAGAAAATGAGCATATGCACACACATACAAAACACAACTGGGTGTGGGAAAGGAGATACTTACTAAGGTCTTCTGAGAGCTGAGGGAATTCATAAATGTGTTCACATGTGTTCCTGCTACTGGGGATGCAGAAGCCAAAATCAAAATCAAAGTTCTTCAGCAAGCGATCTCGGAAGTAATGTCTCTCAATCATTCGGAAGTTTGACACTGGTTTTTCTCCCACTGTGAATTCCACTCTGTATGCAGAAAGTAGGAAAAAACAGCCAAGATGACTTACTCCTCTTCCTATTGGGAAGAACAGAGCCTTGGACAGAGGCTACACAAGAATCCAACAGACCATTCCAGAGAGACTTTGAAACTTGTAGTGTCAGAGGGGCTTTCTCTAGTCTTTGACTCAGTTTTGTTATAAACTCTCAAGTGACACTCCGTAAACACCCGATTCTCCCTTCTGACTATGAACTCATACTCACGTTGCACCAACAGTCCGAAGGCGAAGAAACGCTGGGGTGAACTGGTAACGAACAAAGCGGCCTGCGCTGGCATCCAGTTCACTGCTCTCATCTTCATCCTCCTCATCTTGCTCTGGAAAATGCACCAGCTCAGAGTTACCCTGCTAATAGCGGACGCATAAGGTGATACTGTCTGGTTGGTGTAACAGGGCAAGCTGGCTGTTACTGAGGCACTGAATGCAGACACATTTAACAATTGGTGTGAGACTCATATTGGCACTAAGTAATAAAAGTTCTGTGACAGTTAGTGCAGCCTTGGTGGCTTTGGAGCTGAAAGCACCCTTCATCTCGCAGGATATCCCTCCTTGCAACTCAGAAAGCACATCAAAGGAACTCTGTACCTTAACCAGCCAGCAAGGGAAGATCTACACTTGATAGTACTGCCCCATCTCATAGTAAATGCTTCACACTGCAAAAGTAAAGTCAATGCCATGCTTAAAGCAGAAGTAAACTCAGTTGCTATACTTAGAGTAGTAAACTCAGTGCTATGCTTAAAGAAAAGGAAATTAGTCACCAGGACACACTGAAGGACCTTTCTGCTTCATTTGCATGGGTCCTGCCTTGCAACTTCTCAGCTCCACAAGTGTCTCTAGCCTCCCTGCAGTGGTAGCACGACATACCTGAAGCAGATGGCTTTGCAATTTCAAACAACACTGTTCCAGTTTCAAGGTCCCGGATCTTAAACCTGGTGAAGTCAATGTTGTAAATGTTGTCTTCAGGTTTGCATAAATAATCTAGAAACGAAAGAAAATGTGTTGTAACGTTTCAAAAGGTCTCTGAGCACTTACTAAAAGGATTTGTTAGCCCAGCCCGTTAAGATGTGTACTGCAAGTTGTTTTGCAGAAGCTTCATGAAAGCTGACCAAAACTGATGCAAGAAGAAGAAAGGACTTCAGGTACCAGTTAATGGAGTGAGAAAGGGAGGCATCCGGACGGAAAACCAGAGATCAGCAGCCCAGAGCGAAAACATCACCCCCAAAGCCCCGATCGAACCCCGGACTTTCCGGGAGCTGCAACAAAGCTGAGGCAGGAGCGCACCGCGCTGCAGCAGCGCCCGCCGCTCCCCACGCCAGCACACGGGCCGGCAGCACCGCCCCGGGCCGACAGAGCCCCGCCGCTCCCGGCTCTTTTCCCCCACCACAGGCGCCCACAGCCCGGCTCCGCGGCACCCTCCGCGGCTGCCGAGGAAGGGGCTGATGGAGCGGCGCCCGCCCGGGACCGCGGGGCCAGCAAGGCCCGGCCCAGCGCTGCCGGCCCGACCCCCCCTCCCCGGGCCCAGCCCCGCACTCACTCTCCGTCACCCGGCACAGCCCCAGGACGTGCTCGGGCCGCACGGTCTCCAGCGCCAGCAGCTCGGACTCGGTCCATGGCGGCCGCGGGGCAGCATCTCCCGAGCCGCGCCTTCCCCGCAGGCGGCTGAGCGGACCCGCGGCCCCCGGCGGCGGCTTCTTTTCCGGCCCCGCCGCCGCCGCTGCCGCCCTCGCCTTCGAGCCGCTCATCGCGCCGCCGCCGCCGCCAAGATGGCCGCCGCCTCCCTCGGTAGCTATGGGAGCGAGGGGCGTGCCCGCGGCGGGTCAGAGGGCACGGGCGCTGCCTAGCAACGGGAGCGGGCCCCCGAAGCTAAGCGCGGCCGGAGGGGGGGCCCCGCCGCCCGCAGGGCCCCGGCCCCGAGCACACCCCTCGCGGGCAGCTGCTCCGGGGGGCCGGCAGCGGGACAGCCTCCGGGCTACCCAAGGAAGCACAAAACACAAGCAAGAACAGCCCCGGGGCCGGCAGAGCCCCTCCCGCTGTCCCCGGCCCGGAGCAGGGAGGTGACCCCGGCCCCGCAGAGCCCCACAGCGGCTCCCCTGCTCATTAAATCACGGTCGGGGTAATTACAGAGGTCAGGCATCCCCCAGAGAGCCCCGGTCTTACCAGGGAACGATGGGAAGCACTGCCTGGCAAGCAGCCGTGTCAGCAAGGGGCTAAGGGAGTGCACACCCCACTGCTGGCCTGGGGACACCCCAGTGCCTGTCCCCAGTGAGCCGGGACCCAGACCCGGGGAGGGACAGGACCGTGTGCCCCAAGGAAGGTCACCCATGGAGTGCCACTGCCCTGCCAGGCCCTCCCTGGGCCAGCCAGCCCCAAGCCGTGCCACCGCCACCCCAACTTTGTGCACACACTGGGGACAGTGGAAGATGGTGGAGGAGTCTCCTATGCCTGGCAGGAGGGATGGGGATGTCCCACCTGGAATCACTCCCAGGAGCACCACACTGAGGAAAGGATGCCCTTCTTCCCCAGAAAGGAGCAGCCAGACTGCCCAAGCACTTAAGAGCTGCCGTCATCTCCAGCCCTTCAGGGAGCTGGGGAAGAACAAGAAACATCTGCATCCTCTTTCCAGACTCCAGCCAACGCGCTCAAGATGACTGGAAACAGATTCAGAGCAGTGGTTAGTGACGTTTGCTGCTGCTTGTAAGCAGCACCCGCCTCTACCACCAGCCAAACAAGCCTGCTCCCAAATCCTCCTCGCTGTCCCTCCATCCTGCGCCCTAGCAAGCACAGACCAAAGACCCAGAGCAGCTGCTCTGCAGAGGGCCAGAGTCCTTTGTCCCCTGCAACCAGGCACCTAGAGGAAGAAGGTGCTGCTTTCTAACGGCTCCAGCCCCTTCCAACTGCCTCTGATGCAGCTTCAGGCTGAAAATGGGGCATCCTGCACAAACCTCAGAAAGCAGATTACATCTCTGGTACATCTGCTGACCGAAGCAGGAAGCACAAGGCCCACATCCATGCTCTTAAGAGCCACCCAGCTTGCATTTAATCACCCAAAACCACTGGCAGCAGCAGCGTTGGGTTGGGATGTTAAACTGCATCTCGCTTTGCAGTGCAACCAGCCTCCCGCTGCCCCCAGCACTGGAAAAGAGGACCCAGCTCACCCAAGTGACAATATAACTCTGTTTATTTTCCTTCAGCGCGCTGCTGGTCCCAGGGCCAGGCAGTGGATTTCAGAACATTCCCTCAACCAAACATCCTGGGCAAATTAACAAAAATAAAACTGTTGCCATGTACCAAAAATAAAATAACCCACCCCAAACCTGCCTCTTCCCCCAAGCCAGTCCCTGCAAAGGCAATGCAATCAGAAATAATCTGTGCTTCTCACCCAGGGCCCGAGCTTGCTGCAAACAAAGGAAATGTCACTGCAAGTTGTGATAACACAAAGCAACGGACAGTAAGATTAAAAACCCCCTCTTAAAACCCCTTTGTACTGGTGACAAGTACAGATGGAGCTCTCTCCCCACGCTGCTTTGGCTTTTACAGACAACTCAGACCAGCAGCTTCAAGTAGTTTGTGGTGTGTCCTTAATGCCAATAGCACAGGCCAGTTCCATGCATCCCAGCTGGGCACCATGGAGCAGTGGGACCATCTGCCAACATTAATAGCTGCCACAAAGGGACCCAAACATCCCTGTCACCTGCCCAGCATCGCACAGTCCTGGTGCTGCCTCCTGGCACTAGCCACAAACCTGCCTCTGCTCCCATGGGCTCTGGGGCTGTCTGACCAAACTGAACACACAAAGTCCCCACAGAAACTAGGAGAGATTCAAGCCCCCACTTGGCAGCCAGTTCCAGGTGCAGCTTCACTCCAGCACCCCAGCTCAGGAGCAGTGTGACAGAGCTGCCGTGGTGCCACAAGCAAGCACATCCCCACCACGTGTGACTGGGAGCAACCCCAGGGCAGAGCTCAAGTGTTTCCAAATTCACGCTCTCCCCAGTTAAACTGGCTCAAGCTGTACTTTGCTCCTTCCCTTGACATCTCCATCACACAAACTCTTCAGCAGAGACCCCTGATGTTTGTAAAAGATGATTCACATTTTCCAGTCAGCCAGCACGGTTTCAGGAGGGAGGAAAGCAAAGCACTTGTGTTTCATTGGGGTTTTTTTCCTTTTTTTTTTTTATAATTTTTTAAATAAAGTCATTTTTGGGAAAGCAAACACCAAAACCTATCAATAACTTGCAGTAGCATCCCGCTGATCAGACTGGGGACAGCACCGTCGCATCCCTCCCCCTCCCGTATCTTCCCCCCAAGCTCCAAAAATAGTATTTAATGTACAGCAATAAACTCTGAGCAAGCCAGAGTCCCGGAAGACATGGACCTGCTTTCACCTCTCCTATCCAACCCAGCACCATTTCAACGTGGTTGCTACTATAACTCCTGCCACAAATCCATTCGGATCCAAGGCGATACACACATGCCCCAGACCCGCTGGGTGCAGCACAGGAGCCCTATTTGTGTAATCACGTTTCTGAGCCTTCACAGTTCCAGCCTGGTGTTGTGTGTGTTGAGAATACTTGTCTGAGCCTATATGGGACTAGCCAGTGAAGACAGACTGGTGGAACCAGGCTGACGGTAAAAAAAGCATCCTGGAATTGTATTAGACTTTGGCATTTGTTGTGGAGATGCAGAAGCGCCAGTAGGTAAATTAGCTCAGTGCTGGCCCAGCTCCCATTTCCCTTGGATTCTCAGCAAGGATATTTCCCTCCCCAGCACTTAAGTGCAAGAAGCAGACGGATCTCTCCCACATTTGAGCACCAAACAGAGCCTGAAACACTTGGTACCTCGCAGCTGCTCAGAATCTGTCTTGCATCAAGGGCTGAAGCTGCTCTGCTGGTCCTTTCCCTCCTCCTGCTGTTTTCTATCAAAGACAGGCCTCTCCAGACTTCCCATACAAAGACACTTCCCTGACTGTTGCTGTCCTATTTCAATTTAAAGGCCAAGGGACAAAGCACAATTCTCTGCTCCTTGCTCAGACCTAAATAGCGCAGAACAAGGCCTCAGCAAGCAAGTTTGAGGGGCAGTACCCCCCAAGACACAATCTACACCCAGAAGCTGTAAGCACCATAGCAGGACCTAGCCATGACTCACTCAGCTCTGAACTGCACAGACACGCAGGCACCAGAGTGTCTGTCTGAGAGCTCTCCATTCTGCCTCCAGGAGATTGCTGGGGGAGACCAGACCTGAAGGAGCTCTTCCAGTTCTTCCATCCCCTGCTAGGTGTTCCTTCCCATTGATCTCAGAGGCTGGAACCAACGATGCTCGCTCACCATTCTCTGCCTGAGCTGTGACCTCCAGAGCTGGCATCCAGGGACAGTGGGGCAGTCCCCAGCTGATCACAAGGGCAGGGAATGCCTGGCCCTTGGGAAAAAGAAAAAACAACTCAGAAGCTCCTTAAAAAAAAAAAGAAGCAGCTTCTTCAAACAGACTTTTATTCAAAGCCTGAGACAAAAGGCACCAAAAAGAGAAGGGAATTCACTTGGCTCTCTGCTCACTGCCACCTGGGATACTCAGAAGGGTCACAGATCTTGTTTCAGTCACACACACAGAAGGAGAAAATGGCCTGGCTTAAAAAAACAAAGCACACACAGGCTTGTCTCTATGCAGGCTCAGTTAAACCATGCCTTGGGTATCCCCTCAAAGCACTGGAAAACTACAGCCAACCCAAACCTTTCCTTTACCGGGACCAGGTACCTCATTATACACCCATCTGCCTGGCTTGCAGATGCTAGACCGAGACTGCAAGGGGAGTTGGCTGGATGATGCCATTCCAGCAAGGTGCTGAGCAGTTATCCCCTACCATCCTCCCACGTTCCACATGCTTTGTTTGAAGGCTCCTTGAGGCAAATGTATTGGGAGGGGATGGACCAACAAGGAAAACAGCTCATAGCACCGTAACAGGGTCAGGAACCACCCAGACACCAGCTTTATAGTGACAGAGATGCATAAAACTAGAGCGAAAACAACTAAATTGAATCCATGAAAGATGAACTCTTCCTCCTCCCTATTCTTATTCAAATAAGACAAATTCATTTGAACTGAGCAACTGGAACACAACAGTACACACGCTGCACAGCACCGCTTTAGGGCAGCTGATGGCACCAAATGGGTGCCCTGGCTGCCAGGAGAGGCGGGGATAAACTACCCTAGAAAACTTGTCTGACTTTTGCACTCCTAATTTACCCCTTTTCTCACATCAGGAAAGGTGCAGAGATTACTGGGTGAGCCACAAGAAGCTGAGTGATCCTTGCTTCAAAGATGCTCAAATAAGATGCAACCTAAAAGGCCTGGAGGATAACAGCTCCTTACAGAGAAGCTTGCTTTCAAGCCCAGGTTTTTTGCTTAACAAATCAGCACAGCTCATGCTTCTCAAAACCGATAAAGATCTAAATGTCTCTTGTGCTCCAGATACAGCAATCCCCAAAACGCTGGAGAATCTCTGCAGGCACTGTCACCAAACAAAACAAAGCTCCTATTTTGTGTGAGTTTTATACGTACTAGGGTTTTAACAGCAGCTAGAAGGTGAAGCAGACAACTTCAAGCTTAAAGCCTTTTCATCCTAAGGTTTGTTCTTAAGATCTGCTCTCTCTAAAGCCTGTCTTCTCCTTCAACTGTGACAGGGACCCTCTTACTTCTCCCAAACTGGCTGGTACCACTTGTGCAACTGGAGAGAAGGTAATTAAGGTCCTACCGCCTGCCTTTTAGCCCAGAGACACAGAATTAGGGTCAAGCCTATAGCAGTGATGTATGAATCAGAAGAGCGAGGTTCAGTGCCACTGCTGCAGAGAGCAGTGCTCAGACACCTCCTGTTCTGGAGCCCAGGAGCTGACAGCTTATATCACAGCTTGAGGGTTAGGAGGAAGCAAAGGCTTCAGCTGCTTGGGCCCAGCAGAGCAGGAGGGCTGCTCCTCCAGTTTCCCTTCTGCAAAGCAGGGAATTCTGCTGACCCTTCTCAGCTCAAAGGGCTGAGCCACTGTAGGGGATCAAGCCCAGAAACAACTGCAAGGAAAAGTCAGGCTCAGGGAAGAGCAGCAGCAATGAGGATACCACTCAGTGCCACAGCTCTGGGCAAAGCAGAGAACGGAGACAGCAGAAGGTAAAGGGTTCTGTGAGCCTGGAGCTCACCAGCATCAAAGCTGACCTGCAAGGATCCAACCCCACCTGGGACAGATCCTGCTCCAGCACACACAACATCTCCCTCCTGCCAGCCAGAAGTGCTCAACATACCAGAGGCCAAGAGCATGGGAAGGCAGCTCCTTAGGGCCTGGAGCTCTGATCAGCAGGCACAGGAATGGCTTTCACTCCTGCTCAGCCTCTGTCAGGCAGGCACAGGCTCTGCATGTGGAAACAGAAGCCTCTTGCAGAAATATCCCTGTGGGAAGCCAGTGACCTTGTCTCCAGTGTTCTGCTCACTTCCCAATCTCTGGAGGGCATCAGATCACCTTGCTCTACAGTACTGAAATGTTGGACATCTGCCCCTTCACTACGGTGAGGGGCAAAAGGCTGAGCTACCAGAAGACACTGAACAACTCGCTGCACTTCTCACCACTGCAGGTAGGCCTGGTCCCTGCAAGGGAATGAGAGCTCACAGGGAGCATCCATGATGGTGCTCCACTCTGTCCTACAGCACAGGTTCTTCACAGTTACAGGGCAGGGAGCTAACTGTTAGGAAGGTCAAGGAACAAATCCAGAATCTCCTCTCTAGGTCACCTCTTTCTCAGCTTCTTTCGAAGGAGAGGTCACTTGATAGAAAGGGCAAAACAAGGAACTGGGCTTAAAATGAAATCTTTGAAAAGGATAATAAAGGAAACAAAAGCCATAATCAATACAAGTGCATCTGATCAGATGCTGACGTCAGCCTCTCACAGGCTACAGCAGAATCCCTCTGAGATGGATCTAACATTGCAATTGCCAAACTAGGAAAGTCTCTCCCAACTGGTGCAGCAAATCAGGCCAGATAAATCCCTCTGCTCGTGGCACAGCTTGCAGTCTTAGGAGGGAAACATCTCCACAGAGGCTGAGCAGCTAGCCGGAGTCTTGGCATCTTTCTGCAGGCGAGGCCCATACATCGTGTTGCACACATTCAGGGAGATGCTGAGCCAGGCTCTGTCCTCCACCGCTGTTAGTCACCCCACAGCACCACACCACTTCCACGCTCATGAACAAAACGTGGACTCAGGCATGGCTTTAGGAGCTGCTTCCCTGCTTAAGGAACAGTATTCTACCCAGCAAAGGCAGAGGTCTTTCAGCACATGGCTTTCTCTCAGTCTGGGACACGGCCCAGGACTGGTAGCATCAGCTTGCAACAGCCCAGTACAGACGGCCAGGACTCAGTTTACTCTGGGATGCCCCAGGGAGGATCGGAGGCTGCACATGGTGCGAAGGGGAAGGCGAGGGCCTCGCTGCTTGCTGGCAGGGGGAAGGTAAGCTCCCTCTTACCTGGACCTGCTATTCATTCCAAATGAATCTTTTTTTTTTTTTTTCTTTTTTCCTTAAATTATGAACAATATGGAGAAATCAAAAGCAACCGTGTTTGGTCCAACTCCTTCCCTCCCAGCCCCTCGGCTGATGCTCTGTGGGGCTTGCTCTCACAATCGGCAGAGGCAGAAGAGGGTAGGAATGAAGACACCAAAGGCCACCAATATAGGAAACATGAGGCTGCTGTTGTCCGAGGCATAGGGGTTTGGTGTGCGTGGGCCTGACTGAACCCGGTTCTTATTTGCCTGTTTTTTAACACTTGAGCCATCATCATATTCATCTTCATCATCATCTTCCTCTTTCTTCTCCAGACCTGGGTGCGGCTGCAGCTTTGGAACATCTGTTGGACAAGACAATAGGTTGCAAGGCGGCAGGATGTAACATGGGAAGTCACCCAAGTCACTGCCTTCCCCCCTCCCTGACCCAACACCAACAAGGACAACAGGGCACCTGACACCGCATCAACACCACAGCCACAGCATCTCCCCCTCACAGAGGCTCACTCCACTATTTCTTTCCTCCATGACACAAGAGCATCTAAAGAGCCAGTCTGCAAAGAAAACGACAGCATTCCATCCTGCCTGAAAGTTACAAAGCAGAAGTTCTAGCACGAAAGCACACTTGGAGCATACAGAGTCAGGTACCACAGCTGCCCAGTGAGATCTAGTCAAGAACAAGCATTCGCTACCTGCAGGGCCTGCAGACAGAGGTGCAAACAGAAACGGGAACAACCCTTTTCACAAATGCTCCTGCCTCACATCACTGAACCCTCTTAACCCCAGCCCTATCAGAGCACCATGGCCCAACCCCACTCAGACCCAGCCCTCTGAGCCTGGAGCATGAACTGCAGGTCCCCACACGTCAAGGCTCCTCCCAACCACAAGGTTATGCACCAGATCTTCAGCATCACTTGGCAATTCCTGACCAATAGTAAAGCAAACTGATGCTTTGGTCAGCGCAGGGTCCTAAACCTTCTCTGTTTAGGAGCCAGAGGAGCTCCAATACAGGCTTACAAAGATGGTGATGGAAGAGCACTCCCAACTGCTGTGCAGAGGAACTGATATCTGGGGGAAAAAAACCACTGCCTTGTTCACAAGCTGAGGAGACAAAACAAAGCTCCAGGTAAGAAACACTTAGCTACTAGCTAAAAGATCTTTGTGACCTGCTTGTCTGCAGGGCTGCTGCTGTCATGCAAGGCCAGAGGGAATTCACCTGTAGCTCTAAGGGAAGACTGACCAGAAGCGCTCCCTTCTTCTCTACCCTATACACAGGGAGTCTCAAACCACATTGTTGCCTTTTTCTTATTACAAAAGCGCACAGCTTTGTGCACTTGGAGGAACAGGAGGACCCCATGCACCTACTGCACTCTGTGGGAACTTGCTGAGAGAGGAAACATTTTTGGCAGAGGTGGGTCAGCAAGAGCTATGATCTCATGGTCTGAGAAGCAACAGGCAACTCTCCAAGAGGGAAGAGCCTGCTGGCTCAGAAACTGTGCTTACCTTCCACTGTTCCTTGCAGGATATATAGGGCACAGATTTTTGGATTGTCATAGTAGCCCTAGAGAAAGCACAGAAGGAAATCACTGCTGCAGATCCGAGACAAGAAATACTCTCCCCCCTTACCAACACCTCTCCTCCTTCAGCACACAGCCTGCACCACATGGCTGGGGAAGAAGGGGAAAAGGAAGCCCAGGGCTCTGCACAGAAAAAGCTTGTTACCTTTACAAACTCAATGTGGAGCTTCCCCGTGAATGTGGAAACCTCTCCCTGGACACTCAGCTTCCCCTTTTTAATACTCATGGGAATGATCTCATCGTGAGCTGTGCTGTGTCCGACTCTGTCAAAAATGTCCAAGTCCTTCACCACCACGTGGCCATTCAAGCGAACATCAAACACCTTCAGGGTGGAAGAAATGACAGTGTCAGGACAGATTCAGGCATGTGATGGTTGAAATGGGAACTCAACAGGAAAGGTCTCTGCCTGTTATGCATCCAGGACCAGAAAGCACTGCAGCATGCACTGTCCCACCACACATGTTCTACTCCCTTGGGAAGAATTCAGAGCCCAAAAGCAGCCAGGTAAAGACACTGAAGCATTAACTTTGCTTTCAAATACCCTGAAATCTGCCTCCCTTTAGAATACCCCCTCCATCTGCTGTTCAGAACGGAGGACAGCACGATTTTATTCTGGTTTGTTCATACTTTTCTTTCACATCTTTCCTTCCACCTACTGGCTGAGGACCTGCTCCTACCACCCCAGGGTGCTGGGGTGCTCCACACCCCAGGGAGTGAAGCAGTTTCTAACCAACAGCCTGCAGCAGAGCAGAGGAAACAAGCTGGTAAAGGAAAGGGTTTGAAGGAGGTAAAATGCCGAAGTGCTAACCACATCTGTGAGTTCAGAGTGAAAGTCCTCCTCAGGGCTGTAATGACTCAACCTTCACTCAGCACCTGGGGAATCCCAGCACAGCCACATGAAGGAAGAGGAACCAAAGATGCCTCAGCCCTTCAGTTTAACGTGAGGCTGCTTTCTGCATCCAGTCTGTAAGCCAGCCCCACCAGTTCCGCTCCCTGAAATACTTCTCTGGCAAGAAGGCAGCACAGTGCTTAAGGAAGCTGATGGAGTCAGGGGAAAGTGAGACTAAAACATACACCACTTCTCTCCCAATTCATCACAGGGCTTTGAGTCCTTTGTGCTTCTGCTTTCACGTCTGTACATGAGGGATTTCAGAAGTGACATGGATTATTCTTCTCTAAAGAGCAATAAAGAGGGTTGAATTTAACTGTTGTGTTTTCAAGATCAGACTGAACCCGGGCAAAGTCTCACAACGTTGCTGTTTGAGTAGGTTATTTAACCCAGATCACCTCCCTGATTTAATCTGTGCAATACTTCCTCCAGCACAAGCCTGCTCTCAGGTCAGGAACAAGCACTCAGGAAAAAGGTAAAATCACTTCTCAAAGCCTGAACAACCTAAAGAGATCATAAAGCTCTAGTGCTAGTTTAGTTGCCCATGGTTGAATGCTTTGTAATGCCATTTTCCAGGCCAACTGTATATGTGGAAGACAGCTCAAAGTTTCAGAGCCTGTGAAAGCTTTGGGAGGTAAGTTTTAACCATCAGTGCTTTAGTGCCTTCCTTCACTCCTTTCTCCAGCATGCGAAGCAGCAGAAGCAACCTGAACACACACAGTCTTAACCAGGAATTCGCATCAAAGAGACAAGCAAGGAGCTGTTGCTTACCTTCTGTTGAGACTGTGCAAAATAGACCTCTGCAAACTTCAACACCAGCACATAGTCACCCTCTTCTTTGATGGGGACTTCGTAGCCAAAGGTTTCCTCGTTGTAACGCTCAGTCTGGTACAGAATCTGATCTTCTGCATTGGACCTCAAGATTGGCAGCTTCATACCATAGTCAGAAGCTGGGTTTCAATCACAAAACAGTGAGAGGAAGGGTTAATTTGAGGCACATGGAAGAGACACTTTATGTAGATACCCTTGGAGTGCTTAACCCTCAGACCTGTCTCCCCTCCTTGCTCTGACCAGGAGGAGGCACTACCGGAGCTGAAGCAGAGGCAGTCAAAGGCCCAGAACCCTGGACCTGCTGCAGTCTCAGACACAGCAAACTTATTTGCACAGCTTCAGAAAGAAGAGCCTGTCTCCCCAACAGGCTCTGAGCCAAAGGACTTGGCCATTGACTCCTGCTGCAAAGAGGAAAACCACCTAGAATATTTTTACAAGCTTTTCAAATCACAAGCTGGGTACAAACCCAAAACAGTCGGTGTAGGACTGACTTGGCTCATTCATCCAACAGATCTGAAGTTAGCAGTCGATGGCATCAGGTTTTAGATGTGTGAAAACCTGGGGAATGGCAGAAGAAATGGAATTTTCTGCCACGAATGGAAGAAAAGCATCAGACATCTTACAAAAGCCCTTCTTCTCACCACATCTACGCAATAACTGCCAGCTTGAAGACAGGAAGGAAACAAGAAAGATACCAGAAAGTTTCAAGAGCACCAGCAGCTCCATCAACTCAAATGGGCGCTGCCTGTAGGCACCTGAACAACCCCCTTAGAAGGACCCAAACAGCATTCCCAAATAGGACAATAACTGAGAAAATAACAGGAATAATAACATTTGCCTCTTCTCAAGTCCTTATTTCACCACCTCTAGAGCAGCCCTCGAAAGGCCTTAACCCAACTTGCCATGTTGCTGTGACAGGGTTTCTGTACAAACTGGAGCAAGCCTCAAGAGCTCCAAACCAAGTAATTCCTCAGCGAAGCAGGGGCTGGAGGGAAGACAGTGGCCACTGGCACTTCAGGCAGGGGAAGCTGATCCATACCAAGTTCTCCGCTGACACTTGCCACTTCCACCCCATTTCCATGGGAACAGACAGTGCATCAGCCAAGACAAAGCAAGGACTACAAACCCAGCGTTGGAGCCAATGCAAATGAGAGGAAATTAATGCCAGTTCTTGGTCTCCTGTTTCACTCAGGCAATCTCCTGCTTCTCTTTACCACTGGGAGCCAGGTGCAAGGACTGAAGACTCTCATCACCAGCAACAGAGGTGAAAAGTTTAACCTGTCCTCCTCCACAGGTACTTCTGGCCAGCTACAGATTACAGTGACAGGAAACCAAGGACTCCACAGCAGTCAGCTCCTATTAGAGGAAAGCCTGCATAGGAAGAATAACTAGAAGGTAAGTGGAGAGAAAGACCTGTCACCTGCACATCACAGGCCTGTTGACAGAGCTGTGGAAGCGAGCTTGACTTGACAGTGCTGGATGTGCTGAGGTAGCTCAGCATTAAGCTGCGACTCAACAATGTTTGGCACCTGGCTGTTCTGTAATTGCCATCAGCACATTTTGTCCTCCAGGGCACAGCATCTGAACTGAAGCTTGAAAAGAAACCCAGGGTTTAATTTGCCCAGAAACGCTACCCCCTGGTCTCACTTCCTCCCAGCCAGTATTTCTGCTGTAGCCATTACATGCCTATCAATACAGAGAGGAGCCCGGAGTAATGTGAACAATGGTGCAATAAAAAGCCATTGAGGGAAAAGCAGCTGAGAGCTCAAAGGGGTAAAGTCTGCTCTGCTGTGCCTGGCACCACTGGCTGGAGCAGGATTACTGGAACAGCCTGGCTGCCCCCAGAGGAAGGGCATGGCAGCATGCTTCAAAAGACGATCCTTTTTTCTCCTCAGCTAAACCTGAATTGTTCAAGTCCACAAGGACATTCAAGCCACACATGAGAAGTCTGTAAAGGGAAGCTGACCTACAGGGACGAGGGCACCTTGTGTGACTGGAGTGCCTGCTTCCGAAGGGGTAAAAGAGCTCCATGCAAACCGTGTTCATATTTAAATGTGACCTTCGCTGTATGCACTGCATCCCAACAAGCTCTCCATTCAGGATGGTGCTCCTGCAGGGTGAGCAATGGCAGTCCCAGCTGTATAGCACAATCTCACCATCCTACACAGAAACAGGGAAGGTCAGACTTCAGAAGTCAACAGCTCACCTCCTCTGCACTCCACCAGCCACCTATAACTGGCAGCAGGAGCCACTCAGCACTGCTTCACTTTCCAATGAATTTGCTAATCACCTAAGTTCCAGTGCACCCGTTATCAGAACCACACCAAATTCATCCAACCGGAGCACTTTCAGAGGAAGTAGAATGCAACCCGAGTGCAATATCAGTTCTCCATCCTGTCCTTACTGGTACATATCAGATTTTACTGATTCAGTAGCTAGAGCAGCTGATCAGACCCCATCTACTTCTCCTTCCGTCCCTGCCCTGCTCCTCAACACTTGCCAGGACCGGAGCACCTTCCTCTTGCCCTGCCCCAGCACCGGGGCTGATCGCGCAGCCCCCGCCGTGCTCCCCCCCCCGCGGCTGGCACCGCGCTGCTGGTGGCGGGCATCAACCGCACCGTGCACCAGGCTGCGGAGAGCGGGCAAAGCCTGTTCTCACCTTACCGAGCGCTGCGATCCCGCAGTGCAAACTGGGGTCTTTCAGTGGAAAACGGGAAGGAAAAAACAGGAGAGAAGCGGCCGCACGCTCCCGGTTTGGCAGCCTGAGCGCTCCCGTCGCCTTTTCCAGCCGAAATTCCACTCCAGCCCGCGAGGAGCCACTTCCCCGCCGGCATTACACAACCCACAGCCCGAGGCAGGGAAAACCAGCCCGAAGCCCGCAGGGCTCATCCCGCGACACCGCAGCCCTGGGCCCACTTCTAGCCGGGCCCGGCGGGGGGACGGGGTGGCCGCGGTCCCGGCGGGTGATAAGTACCGTGCCGGGGGGTCTCGGCCTCGCTGTCCCCCGGCAACCCTCTTCGCCACGCCGGGCCCGGACGGTGGACGGAGACCCCGACCGCGGGCCCGCCCGGACCACCACAGCCCAACGCGGAGACCCACCGACCCTCAGCGGCGGGGCCAGGGCAGGCGGGACGGCGCCGGCTGGACGTGGGTCCCGGAGCCCCGCCGAGGCAAGCGGAATGGAGCTGAGCGGGGACAGAGAGCGGCCGCACCGACAACCCCCCGAGGGCCGCCCGCTCAGCACCGGCGTCCCCCCCCCGCCCTCACCTCGGCCCACGCGGCCCTCGAGCGGGTCCTTGCGGAAGTGGATGCCGTTCACGTCCACATGGGCATCGCCACCCGCATTGACGGCCCAGACGACGCTGTCGGCAAGGCCGCCCGCCGCGCCCCGCAGCACCGGCGGCAGCAGCAGTAGCAGCAAGGGCGGCAGTAGCGGCGCCCCGCGCGCCCCGGCGCCCACCATCTCGGGCTCCCGGCGCCGCGCCCGCCCCTTCCTGCCGCCGCCAGGGGGCAGCCTAACCCGCTGCCGGGGCGGAGCGCGCAACAACCAATCCACGCGCCGCAACGCGAATATTAATTTCTTGCCCGTTTGCCACTGGGTGACAGCGGGCCATCATTTGCATATTCATAACCCGCCGGGCCAATGGGCGGCGGGAGCGGCTGAGCAGGCTTGGGTGAGAGGAGAGGGGACGGCGGCGTGCTGCGGCGGGAGCAGGGCGGGGAGCCGGTTTCTGCGAGCCGGTAGTGCCCAGGGCCGGTACCGCCGGCCCGGGGAGTGAAGCGAGGGTAGAACCGGCTCCCCAGGAAGGGGCGGCGGGGAGGGATGAGGCTTCCCAGCGGTGCCCCCGGAGCCCGGCGAGCGCCGCTCTGCGCCGGACGCCTGAGGGAGGAGCTCCGGCCCCTCCAATCAGGGAGCTCCAGCGCGGCCGGAGCGCAAAGCGCTGTGGGACGGCGGCGGGAAGCGGGGAGCCGGTCGGTTGCCGCGGCAACGGGCGGCGCTGCGGAGGGACGCAGCGGTGCGGGCCCGGCACCGCCGCGTCCCCGCGGGGTTGGGCGGAGCTGCCCGGCTCGGGCACGGCCGCGGCGCCTGGGAGCGGAGCTGCCTTGGGGTAGCGCCCGGTTAGAGCCCGCTGAGCAGCTGCTCCAGCATCGGTTCGCTGCCTCGGCGCTCTCCGCCTCTGCCATGGAGCGTGGGAAAAGGTAGCTGCTGGCCGGGGCGGTGAGGAGGCAGACCACCTCGGACCACTATAACCTGCCTGGGAGGTAAAGTCTGTGAAGGAGGAAGGAGGGGAGCTCAGCGCTGCCCTGGGGCTCATTGCGCAGGAGAACTTCAGAGTCAGTGGGGTTTTGTCTGGGGGACGTTGGGGAGGGCTGGGGTGAGCGAGACAGCACATAGGGGAGCAAATAACATTTGCCTCTGAATCTGCCCTTCTGTCTGATCTTGGTGTTCCTCAAAGCCTCACGCACCAGCCAGACCCAATGTCTGCACTCCAGTCGCCACCTACGTTAACAGCAGCTGCTAATCCCCAGTTACATTAACTTGGGTCTTCCACAATGCTTTGCTTTTGGAAATAAAGACTCAGCGCTGCAGACAGAGAGTTAAAGGGGTTTGTTGGTTCTGTAACACGCTTATGAAGTCTCTTAACAGGACACAGCCTTGGGGAAGTGAGCTCAGTTAAGGGATAAGCACTCACTGCTCCCCAACCTGCTCTGATCAGGCTGGAGCGAGCCCCAGAGCGTGTTCCTGCTGCTTTAACATCGGCTCTTGGGCTTGTGGTATAACCGGGCCAGGGCACTGCTGTGCTCCCACAGCAGCATTGCAGCTCCTGCCTTAGGAAACCACATCCAGTAAAGCAGTGTAAAATGGACACACTCGGCACCTCTCCAGATTAAAGCCATCTCACACTGGTTTCCTGGCAAATCATCTGTGTTACAGACCCCAGCATCTTATCAAATCCAGACTAATCTCCTGTATCCCCACCGTGTCTGTGGTCTGTTGCGGTCCCCCAAGTTCAGTGAGCAAAGGAGTGCAAGCAGCCGTGGCCAGAACAATGCTGTCCAGTTGGCGAGGCCGAAGGAGGCCTCGTTAGAGCTCATTTGTACTGATCACAGATGATCCTCCCTAGCGTCATATTTCTCAGTTTAAACTGCGATGTGCTCGGGTCAGGAGCACAGCTTCAATGCATGTAGATGCTTTGTGTGTCATCAGGCTACCTCCATGAGTTGCACGCACACAGAGCGGCAGTGGGGGCTCAAGCACTGTCTGGGCAGAGCCTGGCTGGAACCCTGTTGAGCCTCTCGCTGAGCTGGGCAGTGGGAGGCTCATACTGGGACCTTCACTGCCTTGGTGGGCACAGGGGCCGTGCAGGCAGTGGCAGGGGCTTCATTACAAACCCAGCATCAAACTGCTCAGGCCAGTCCCAATGTGCCCGTGAGCAGGAATTCAGATGTGAAGGGACTGATTCCCTAACATTTAGGTATCGCCAATGAGCCCTCAGCTGAAGGAGCCTCTTTGGCTCCTGATGGGTTACAAGGGCTGCTGGGAGCTAACCCAGCTCATCCCTGCCTTGGGGCTTCTGTGGCTGTGCCAAGCCTGGGGTCCCTGTTGAGAGCATCTCATAGCAAAATATCAGCAGCGCTCCCTTGAAAAGAGAAGAATTTCCTTGAAAGGAAGAGTTCCCCTCCTTGAACAGAATGGAAACCCACTCCCTTCATGCTCTGTCTGAGGACTCTGCCTTTTTAGAAGGCAAGTCACTGAGTGTTGCAATACCTCCTCTGCCTCCCCTCTCACAGCATCTTCCACCAACAAGCCAGGATGGTTATTTCCCAGGAATCGGCAGCCCACCATGAAACGAGAGGGATTAACTGAGCAGCAGTGTGTGGGGAGGGACAGTGGTTGTGCTCACGGGCACAGGAGGAGCACTTGCCCTGGCTCACATCTGGCCACGACTGCTGGCAGAGGATGGTGGACATGCCAGTGGCTGCGCCCATGATGTCCTACACTGCTGCCCCAAACTTGTTACTTGTGAGCACCAGCAACCTGATGCCAGCTTGTGCCCAGGATGTCAAAGGCTCTGTATCCTGTTACTAATCTCACTGAGCCATCGGTCCCTTGATGCAGGCTGCATTTACACCAGTAACCCACAAGTGAAAGGCTCAGGGTTGTCTTCTCAGTCCTTTGATCTCTCCCTGTCCCCTGCCATCTGTGTCAAAATAACTGAGTCTTGAATCAGCCCTGCCTGGCCCACCTACAGCCCTGATCCTCCACCACCGGTGTGGGAAATGTGTTCTGGGTATTAGCCATTTCCTGCAGGAAAAAGGGATTTGGGATGTCCAAACTGGGACGTGGGAGGTCCACAAAGAGTGGCGGAGATGTGTGGGTCAGAAGCACATATGCCTGAACCACATGGGCTACAGGGCCCAAGTGCCCGGAGAGGACTGGCTCTGCCCTGCCATGTGGAGCTATTTGGAAGCCTCCCTGGTCCCAGGGTTGGAGATGAAAGCAAAAGGATTATCTCTGGAATTAGATTATTTAGACTGGAGCTTTAATCTCTGATCCTGTCTGCGCAAGAAAACAGTAAAACTCCTTGGGATTATTTGGGGCTTGTTGTACAAGTAAAACCACACTTGCAGCAAGAGCTTCTGCTGGAAGGATTAATAAATGAATGCTCTGGAGATCTGCCTTGTCTGACCTGTTCCCTGTATCCTGGTGAGACCTGACACGTTATTCCAGCTTTCCTTGGAAGTAGTTGTGGCTCCAGGACTGCCTCTGCAATGACACAAAGGTGCCCTGCAACCACCCTTCCCCTGGCACTGGTGTCCCTGTGTTTCTTGGGACTACAAACACAGCTCTGCCATGGTACAAATGCAGGGACACCAAGGGACACTGAGTGTCACTGATCCCCACACACGTGCACAGTCACTCTGCTGCATGCAGCAGTGCTGTCCTCTTGCTCTGCACACACAAACACGCATCTTCCTCAGTGAGCTCCATGCTAAGTGAAGCACATTTGTGTGCCAACACTCCCTATGGCACACACAAGCCTGCACATGTCTCTCCCCCCTGCCAGTCTTTTCCTAAGTACATACATAACTTACTAGGACTCTGGACTCTTCAGTTCATCACCCTCATCTCCTAAGCACAATACAGCTGTTACCAATAAACGTGGAGATCTGTAAATACCCATTTTCCCATTTCTTGGCTCACACCCACATTTCCAAGACTGGACCAGCTCCATAGATACACACATATAGTTTGCATACACCCACTTGCAAACAACTCTTCTGCTGCTGCACTCTCATGTACTTATCTGCATTCCCTGCTTTAATGCGCACACACACAAACCTTTCCCAGTGCACATGCCTGTGCAAACACGAGTACACACACAAAATATAAGGAGAAACAGCTTTTCCATTGCTGGGATATGAGCCATTGCTGCAGTTAGGGTGGTTGGCACAGCAACAGGACAGCATAAGAGAAAATCCTCCTTTGGGACGTGGATTTGTGGACCTTGAGAATTTGAAAGGGAACCTGGGAAGTGCAAGATCTGAGATGGAGGAAGCAGGCGGATATTGGTCCTTAACCTCTCAGTTGGAGTAAAGGGAAAACTGAGAGGAAAACAGCTCCCATTCCTACTGAGAAATGCACAGCAATGATGACAACCTTTGGAGCCAAGTAGAAATCAGTCCTGGCAACTTGTAACTGAGCCTCTGCATAGAGGAAGAGGATAACTGTAGGTCTGGCAGGGTAGGGGAAGGGAGCAGGAGGTTGGAAGCATGTTGGGGTAAGGAAAAGGAGAATGATAGAGAAGAATAGGGCCTGGAGGCTGCTGTCATGGTCACTGCTGCACACATGTGCAGCATTTTGGAGTGTGAGCAAGCTGGAGAGCAGGGCACTGCCGACAAGGAGCATCCAGGGCAATCACTGGCACCAACAGCTCAGCTCCCGCAGCACAGCTCCAACTGTGCATTCATTCACAGCTGTTTGAAATCGTCTGAAAAGGGGTGCTGGTGGCTACTGCTGCCTACCCCCATCCCACCCAGCTCCCCTCTGTGTCCTTTCTCCCACTGTTCCTTGCCATAACACCATGGGGGCTCCCACTTGCCCCTTTGAAAGCCGGGGCAATGCAGGGGTTGGGGACTCTCGCACTGCCCTCACCATGAGGCCTCTCCAGGCCCCCAGCTACAGGCTCAGTGGCTGGCAGTGTATCCCATTTCCTTGGCAAGGACTCGCCTCTGCCTCCTGGTGCAGATGATGGGGTGTGCATTTGCTGAAGCCCTTCTCCCCCAGCCCAGCCACCACCTCTCAGGGACATCCAGACATCATTTCAGCGTGCATATTTATCGCTTTCTCCCCGCAAGACATGTATTTGAAGGTACTCTTGGTAAACATAACCACAGGAGATGCGAAATACGTGCCGGGGAAGCATAAATAACTCCACACAGATAGACACACACACATAGACAGCAAACACAGACACGGTTCACCAAGGGAAACCAAGAAGTGCAGAGCACGCCCTGAGGCTGCCACCAGTCCCAATGGCTTTGCTCTCATCCACCAAGCCAAGAGGATTTCTCCTACTCTTGCTTTGCAGCAGCTGGTGGGAGAACAAAGCTGGGGAGGAGGAGTCTAAAGTTGCAAATATCCCATGAAAGCATCATGGCAAG